AAAATGCACACAGAATGAAGAAAAATAAGTGAGAATACATAAAACATTACTTCAAGATATGTGATTTTATATTGGATGTAAACTGAACAAAAATAAACACCAACACAAGGAACCTTAATGAGATTTCATCATCAGATGTTCCTTGGTGTTTATGTCAGGTCTCAGTGTAATAATGTAGCACTTGGGAACAAAAATACAACCCAATAAACCAAGGCTGGAGGCCAAGATGGAGAAGATCTGCACAGCCACCATGTATTTCCCTTTGTTGCTCAGGTAGCTTGGAACAAAGGAGATCCAAACACTACAAAACACCAACATGCTGAAGGTGATCAGTTTGGCTTCATTGAAGGTCCCTGGCAGATTTCGAGCCAGAAACGCCACCAAGAAACAGATGGCAGCCAGAAAACCCATGTAGCCAAGGGCAGTGTAGAACATGGCCACTGAACCTTCGTTGCACTGCAGCAGGATGTTTTCTGGCTGGGAATGAAAGTCAGAATCTGTGAACGGGGGAAAGATTCCCAGCCATGTCATACAGATGCCTACTTGAATACCAGAGCAGGATAAAACAATCGAGTGGGCCAGACCCTTCCCCAGCCATTTCCTCATCCTGCTTCCTGGCTTTGTAGCCAGGAAGGCCACCACCACCATTACAGTCTTGGCCAGCAAAGAAGATACGGCAACTGAGAAAACAATACTGAAAATGGTTTGTCGAAGGAGACAGGTCATTTTCATGGGGCGACCAATGAATAGAAGGGAAGTCAAGAAAGAAAACAGGAGAGAAACCAGGAGGACGTAGGTGAGTTCACGGTTGTTGGCTTTGACTATGGGAGTTTCTTGGTGTTTAATGAAGATTCCCAGAATAAAGGCAGTAGTTAGGGACAAAGCAATGGCAAAGAAAGTAGAGGAGTGGAGAACTCTTCTTGTGAAATATTTCTGGACTTTCTCAATTGTGCTAATATCAGATACGTAATGTGGGTTCCAGACTGATGAACTGTATTCGAGTATTGGTCTAGCAAATGTTTTGTATGCTCTGGTTAGTAGTGTGATATTACCAGAGAAAAAGCTACGTAGGATTAGGTTAACAACTCTTAATGCCTTTTTGGCTATGTAGTTGCAGTGGGCTCTAGCACTTAGATCATTAGAGGTGAGTATTCCAAGGTCCTTTACAGAGCTTGGGTCATCAACAAGATCTTGACTATTCAGCTTGTATTTTATTTTCTGATTTTTTTTGCCAATATGTAAGACAGAGCATTTATTTGTTGAGATTTGAAGTTGCCATTTGTTTGACCATTCTGATACATAGTCAAGATCTTTTTGTAGGGTAGCAGTATTGTCTGTGGTATTGAACAGCTTTACATCATCAGCGAAAAGAACGCAATTGCTCTTAATATGATCACAGAGGTCATTTATGTAGAGTATGAAGAGAGTTGGTCCTAGAACACTGCCTTGGGGGACACCACTATTGACAGGTACAGAATTTGATAGGACGCTCCCAATTTTGACCATTTGTTGTCTGTTTGCCAGGAATGCTTCTATCCAGTTATTCAGTTGTCCAGAGATACCATAGGATTTTATTTTTAGGAGTAGTTTGTCGTGTACCACTGAATCAAAGGCTTTACAGAAGTCTATGTAGATTGCGTCTATTGCTTTGCCCTGGTCGAGTTGTGTCGTCCATATGTTTTTGCAGTGTAAGAGTTGCAGATTACAGGATAGTTTTTTTCTGAAACCAAATTGTTTATTGGAGAGTAGGTTGTTTGTCTCTAAGTGGAGGATGATGGATTGGTTAATAATTGATTC